GTGGGGCCAGCAGGTACCTTGATCTGCATGCACAGGCGACTGTTCTCTGCCTCTTTGCACCGGAGCTGGGCCTGCAAATGCCCCCGCATAGACTCCATGGATTTAGAAAGCTCGGACGCTGTCTTTGCTTGAGCCTTTGGAGAGAGCGAGAAAGTGGCAGAGCCAGCATTTGAACCCAGGTTTCCAATTCCAGAGTGCATTCTCCCCACGAAACTCTACTGGCTCATAAGGAGGAGCAACTGTCAGGGATGGTACCTTCTCACATTGTATTTCCTGGAGAAGTTCTTCTACTTCCTTGTCCTTGTCTTGCAGTAGTAACAGCAGGCGCTGGAGAGAACACACACTGTCATGAGCTCCCTGGGAAGAGCAAGGGAGTCAGGCCCGGGGGGAAAGCCACTCCTGTGAGTGCCTGGGCAACAAGGCCCAAGATCCCGACTGTGACTGCCCATGTCCCAGAGACCCTGGCAGGAAGCATCCAATATCTGTATTGAACGTTCAAGACAACAAATACGTATTGACCTTGCAATTTAAGATAAAGTAACGTTAGGGGCGCCTGGGTGGCTCAGTTGGTTAAGTGTCTGACTCTTGATTTCGGCTCAGATCATGATCTCACAGGTCGTGAGTTCAAGCCCCGTATCAGGCTCCATGCCAGGCATTCTTTCTCTCCCTTTCCCTTGGCTCCTCCCCTGCTCATGCTCTCTCTCTCAAAAAAATTTAATTAATTAAATTAAATTAAATAATATTAGTCATGGGAAACAATGAAAAACAAAACAAAATGCTAAATTAGAATCCCCATAATCCCCCAGGCAAAGAGAACCACTGTTAAAACACATTAAGAAGTCTTGGGGCGTCTGACTGGCTCAGTTGCGCATCAGACCTCAGCTCAGGTCATGATCTCACGATTCGTGAGTTCGAGCCCCGCATCGGGCTCTGTGCTGACAGCTCAGAGCCTGGAGCCTGCTTCTGATTCTGCGTCTCCCTCTCTCTCTCTGCCCCTCCCCTGCTCATGCTCTGTCTCTCTGTCTCTCAAAAATAGTAAACATTAAAAAAAAATTGTTAAAAAAAAACACATTAAGAAGTCTTATGCAAAAATGTTCCTACAACATTTACCATAATGTGATTAAATCTTCTACACCTTTTGAAACAGCAAGTTAAAGTTTCAATTTACTGATGTATCATAATTTGGTTCCTGGGCTCTCAAGCTGGAGATGCAGATTTAGGCGTTATCCCCTCATGCTGAATCCCCGACTGTCACCTTTGGAGAGGCCTCAGGGGCCGAGCGCCCAACCCTGGGAAAGGTGGCTTTCATCTTCCTTCTCCCTTGGGAGACTCGTGTGGGCATTAATACCTCAAATACTCCAAAAGGTCTTGGGAGTTAACATGGTGAATTTTTTGTGCAGTTTCCCGATTTATGTGACCACAGATCACTCCCTGCTTTTGTTTCTGGCACCCATTAACATCGTCGAGGAACTTAGGGTTCCATGGACCAGCCTTTGGAGCGTGCTTCCTTGGGAGAGATTCCCAGAACTGGAATTGTTGAACCAAAAAGTCTACAATCCATAATGCAAATAAGGAAATTCAAGTAACAGACTGATGGTTAGTAACTCCATCAGCACGAGCAGCATCCCTCAGGTTGGGTGTTCAGCTTGGTGGTTTCAAGCTTACAAGTGATCAACTAGACAAGCCCAGTGGAGCAGGCAAGGCAGGGGACATCAGCCCATTTTACAGATCAGGAAACTAAGACCCAAAGAAATGTCGGAGCGAGGCTCCGTGTCCCTCCAGCCCCTCTGCTCACTGTCGCCTAAAACCCACTAGATCCGCCAGGGGGCGCTGTGTTACCGCTTTCTCTGAGTCCGCCTCCGCCAGCCTTTTGAGTAGTGCTCCTTGTTGCTCCATTAGCCTTTCGGAATCCTTCAAGGGAAGGCACACAGGTCGTTAAGCAATGAACCCAGATGTCTACATCCTATGGATTCTTTCCCTTTTCCAAAACTTACATTTTCCAATTATAGGAATCATAAATAGATTGCAACCTCATTATAAAATAATCACCCTCATCCACCTCCAAACCCCACCCCATTGTTACTAGTTTGATGAGTGTCCTGCCTATCCTTTCTCTACGCATTTATATATAGCTACACCTAGAGAAATGTTATCTTTTGGGGGGTTGGGATG